CTATGTTGACATGGATTGCCATTTTTTTTTGAATTATAAGTCCACAAACCTATGGTCTTTAGCATTATATCAAAGTCCAAACACATGAGGGTCCAATTCGAATAGGCGATGAGAATTTGTTAGAAATTTATATCATAAGTTTGATTGAATTTTGACTAATTAATGTATAAAGGTATAGCCTAAGCCGTTTATTGCTAGATAAGTTTGAAATGGAAACACTCATGAACTTTAAAACAAATTTACACAACAAGTAATTGGCTCACTAAGTTGATTTTGTAAAACTATGTTCATGGAGTGACACTATATTCCGATAAAATAGAACAAGAATCTATTTAATTGGCCATTGCTAGAAACATCAATAATACAAGTAAAACGGTTGTTCTTGAGGTTTCGATATTTTTTGCTGCTGCGGGTGATATTTTCTCTCTTCTTCCTTCCTCTCCCTTTCTGATGATTGGTACTTCTCTTTATGTGTTTTGTAATCTATTCGCACATTCCTCCTTCTCTTGTGTCATTGACAAGACCATATGTGCTTGCGGAGTCCCCTGTTTCCAACTCTCCGGACCCTCATGAACCTTCCGACCTGTTGGATCTAACTTTCTTTCTTGCTTGACTTTTGATATGCCCTATTTGTTTACCACTTTTACTATTTATTTTACTATATTTCCTATGCATTTTAATAAGGCTTTATGCCTTTAGAGTTAGTTTTCCTCGTATTTGTAGTTTTATAGTCTTAACAGGATAATCAAGCAAAAATGAGCTAAAAGGACCAAAAGAAATGTAAACCAAGGTACAGCAACTTTCACAATCCAAATACATCATCAAGACCCAAGAATTCACAAGATACAATATTTTACCAAGTTGGACATAACATATACGCTAGAAGTTTAGCAATAAACGAAGAATAAAATCAACTTGGAATTCGTTAAAACTTATCTTGAAGATAGCCCTTTCAGTTACCTTTCCAATGGAGTTGGAATCATATAATTTGGAGCTGTATTCAAGGAGTCACACCCGAAATACTAAAGACATGTCAAACTGCCTCGAAAACGAAGCAAGTGCAAAATCGAGCCAAGCACCAGGCTGCCTCGTGGACCGTTGTTTCAGACTGATGCCAGGACGCAGCAAGACAATTTAAAGCCCAACATCCGATCGTGTTCCTTGGCCAATGCTCGTGACGTTGGAGCAATTTCGACCAAAAAGACTTTTTTGCCATAAACTAAGCCCTAAAAGACCCTAGACCTATATATACTTGTTTTTAGCCTCTTTAGGAGATTAAGCAGCAATAAGAAAGAGAGCACGCCTAGAGCTAGGGCGGTGGCCTCTCTTCTCTAAACAATAGATCCAACAAGGTTTGAAGAAGAAGCTTCTTAAGGAAGGTGAAA